GAAAACTAATATATTTAATATTTTTAAATAATAAAAAGAAGTAACAAGCATACTAAACTTACTTTAAAAAGTATATTAAGTATTAATTCTCTCTTATACATATAATCTTTTTACTACTTTTTCTCAAATGAGTTTTTTGATTATGTGGTTTTAATGAGGTAAGTAAGGTAATAAAAATCATCAAATTTTTTTAAAAAAATTCATTTTACTATTATTTGAACAAGTTAAGATACTTTGATATATTTTTTTAATTCTCTCTGACTTAACTTCTATTTATAATTATCATAGTTATTATATACTATTTAGATATAGCAATTCTTCTCTTTTTAAATTTAATATTTTTTTTCTCAGTTAACTTAAAGTTCTTTATCTTATATATAACTTCTTTTATTATATTCTTTTACTACTCATTCTCTAAGAATATTATTAGCATACTGATATCATCATTTTGATATTGAGTATAATAGACAATATTAATTAGAATAATAGTATGAACTTTTATTGAATAAATAGTATAAAAAAAAGCTGTTAACACTACTATCAAATGCAATAGTTTGATCTAATAATATAAGATCTTCACTGATCTCACTTGCTCTTTAAAGAATAAAAAGTTCTAAAGAGTAGGTAGTTAATTTAACTTAGAAGAGAGAGCAAGTTAGATAAATAATTATCAGTTATTATAATAAGTAAATATCTCTCTGACACAATAGCTAAAGATGCATTACACTTACACAAATACATAGTTTATGTATAAGATAGTAAGAGTTACAGTATTTCTCACAGTAAGAAAAACTATATATCATAGATAAATTATTTAGCTTAAGCAAGTATCAATTATTGAAAATATTTTTAAAATAAAATTAATCATATAATTAATAATTATATATTATAACTCAATATATTCATCAACTATCAACTGTTATCATATATGATAATGCTAAATATATTAAAAATATAAAAATTTATTTAAAATATATAGAGATAAATTTTATCATATTGATAGAGATAAAAAAATTAAAAAAGATTTTGAAATCAGAGATAGTAGTAACTATATAAAATTTATAATAATTACAATTGTGAAGTTGTAAAGAAAAAAAGTTTAAAAATAAAATATATATTCTCTCTTTATTTTTATAGTAATAAATACTCTTATAATAATTATATTATATAATCAGATTTTTAACATCACTAAATAAATATTATAAATATTATTTTCTATATTAATAAATATTTTATATCTATATATATTTAAAATAATCATTTTCTAAAGTTACTAAAGTTAATATCTATAAAAGAGAGTACAATTGTAATGTTAAGACTTTATATACTAGCTTTTTGCTCTTATACTATTTATTTCACATTGCTTATTATACTATTTACTAAAGCACTTATCTTTATACTACTTATCAAAGCACTTTAGAATCAGCATCTTTTAAAATCAGCATTATCTTAAAATTTAGTACTCAGAATCAGCATAGATTAGTACTTAATAAAAATTAATTCTTTAATATCAGCACTTTCTGAAAAATAGAATCATTACTTTATGAAAATTTAGATTACTATATTATTAATTCCTTATTTTATGAAAGATTAGAGATAAAATCTATTACTACTTATTTATATATATAAATACTTTGAATTATCAAAATTTCTTTAAAATATTTAGTGATTATCTACTATTTAATTCTATATATATGTATTTTATTCATTGTTATTTTTTTTTTAATAGCACTAATCACATCTATATATTTATTCTTTTATAATTCTAGTTATAGAGCTTCTCACACTTTTTTTTTTGACACTTAGTTCATTTATTCTTAGTGTTTTTATATTTAAATAAAAAAAATACTTAGCAGTATATTATTTTAATAAATAAAAGCTGAAAGCTGATAGCTGATAATGTGAAAAAAATATAAAAAGTTATAAAATTACAGATCAACAAGTATTATTGAAAGTTAAACTTTAAAGTAAAAGATAAGATCTTCTGTTACTCGAGAACTATAAAATTCTCAACTTCAGCAGAAAGCTCACAAAGTAAAATGATAATCTATTTGAGATTATTCAGAGAATTAATAACAGCTACAGACTAAACTACTGAAAAGTATAAACATTTATTCAATATTCTTCTCTGATAAGCTACACAAAGCTGTGAATAATCTTTTATTATAATAACTAAATAAGATATTAGAACTGATTAAAATACAGAATAAAAATAAATTATAAGTTAAAAATATTCTATTAAACTATATTTTTTATAAAAAGCTTCAATATTGAATAAAATAACTAAGCTTTAATGATAATTTAATATGATATTTAGCTTTAAATCTAAAGAAATCATCATATATAATTCAAGAATTTTATACTATAAATTTAATTAAAATAGAATCTTTATACCAATTAAGTAAATAACTAAAGACTTAAAAAAAAATAACTATCTAGCAGATGAAGTAAATGATAATCTATCAGTATAAAAGTATATTTATACATTAAAAGAGAGTAATATAATAATATATAATGAGTTTTGTTTAGTCTTTTCAGCAGTATAAGATCACAAACTAAAATAATTAATAATTATAACCTTTTAAACAATAGTATAGCAATCAATCTTTCAATTATCTTATATATAAATAACATGTAAATGTGAGAACTACCTAGCAATAATATTAAGAAAAGATATAATTATATTAATAAAAAAATTATATAAAGAGAGTTTTCTTTAAACTTAATTTTTAAAAATTATTTTAGTATTTTATTTAGATAATTTATTTAGCTGATAATTGATTATCTGTTTTATTTGCATTATAATTGAAGTCTTGATAGATAATAATTAAAAACTATTTATTTATAATGATAATAAAAAAAATCTTTAATTTTATATTACTTTCTGAAACTTAACTTTTCACTATATCTTCTCAGTTAATATTCTCATATAAAGTTATAAAATTATATTATTAAATTAAGATAGTAGATAAAATTATATGAATAATGAAAAATACTTTGATATTTGATCTGACTCAGCAATTGAATAAGATTTTAAAAGAAATCTAATATATATAAAATTAAATATATTATATGAAAATGAGTTATCTAGTCATTATTTAATGAATAAATATCAGATTGTTAGAAATAATCACAAATAAGTATAGATAAAGAAGGTTTTTTTTTATTCTATAATTAATTAAAATCAAAATTTTCAAATTTTATGTTAATCAATCACAATATGTTATTATTAATAAATCTCAATTTATCAGAGATTCTACATGTTCTAATGAGTGTATAGATAATCTTTATATTATAGATTGGCATGATGTTGACCATTAATTAATTTTTGAAAATTGATGATTCTAGAAGATTTTTGTTATGGTGATATTTTCTTTACAATGGGGCGCACTCACTAATGGGAGGTAGAGAGTCTCCTTAGAGTGCAGGCCTTTTCTGTCAATGCCAGTTTCGCTGTCATAGTAACCCAGTAGCCGACGCCGTAACCAGCGCCATCACACAGGCATGCTTGGAAAGTAGTTACGAATACTTTAGAAGAGATAGAGAGTCATTGATTGAAGAGAAATTATTATGGTAATGTTTTTACCACCTTACCTCTCTTTTTACGTCCTTAATTTGAATGTGTAGTCACGTGGGGAGGTCGGCCAATCCTTTTAGCGAGGTTGACCGATCTCTATGCTCAATGAATGACCTTTCTGCCTTATTCAACTTTCAATGCATCCCGATGATATACAAATGTATGTATATTCACCTAAATATATTCGGTATAATGTCCACGTATATATCTCTATCTATATCTAATGTCAAAAGGAAATACCTAGAGGACATCACTCATTTATTCTTCTGTTTTTACTCCCTATTCTAGTACAAGCATTATATATACTATTCACCGCTACTGCCTGTGTTAACAGCCTCCTGGCGTGTCTAGGTCCAACTTCTTCTGCCTTAATGACCACCTCAAGAAATGCAACTCCTGCACAGATATTCCCTGGGAAGGGTATCGGGTTCCTAAGTATGCTACCTGTCAATGTCGCATATTCATTTGAGGACTTTGCTGATTTGATACTTCCTTGTAGCTCTTGGTGCCTCTCTTCATAACACCTTAACTCGCCTCAAAGCCAACCCCCATACGTACCCTTCTATCGACTTGTCCTACTCTTCGTCCAACCCTATCCACGCCCCGGTTCTTATAACCCTCCCGGAGAATGGCCTACGACTGCGGTTTGATGGTCCAGACCAAAGACTTCGTTTGATCGAAGTGTTGGATTTTACCAAGATTTCTCTTACGTACAAGTCTCATGACGTTCTCAAATCTACCAGGTCCACAGATCAGTCACCGCAGCAGGGCCCCAGTTTTCGTCATATCTATAATCGCATGTTTGGCCCATCCTATCCGGGGGAGTTCGTCCCTAGTTCATCCGGCTCATTGCACGGCACTTACGTTCTCTCCTATCCCGGGGTTGCCTTTTCGTTTCCCTTGCTACAGTCTGCGTGGTCTGAACAATGCGACTTTGTTTCCCTCATGTCCTCGTCGGCCGCATCTTCTGCTACGTCAATGGCTGTCTTCCAAGGCTCGTCTTGGGTGGATGGCCGTTCGAATTTGTACACACGACAGCCCCAATACCCTAGATCAACCGCCCTCGCTGGGAAAAATCGAGAGTCCGTGGCTGATGAAATAGAGGAAGTGAAGGTACATGGCGCAGGTAGAGTTGAATTTCTTCGCAGGGCAGGGCCGTCGTTTTATATTACACTATCCGAGACGACTCCACAAGATCTTGTAGCAGAGTTTGGTCCTCCAGATGCGATATACCGAAAGAACGATAGACGAATATCAATCCATGGGGCCCAGTCACTTGGTAACGCGAATCTCCGACACACAAGCCCTTCCTTTCCTGGTTGCGCTGCTGACCCCACAGACATAGACCCGTTGTCTGAAACCAGTGTGACAGATGAATCAGATGGCGAGAATTCCCCCACCTTCCAACGAGATTGTGCTTCGCTAGCAACCGAGTGTTTCTATAACTACTTCGATCACGGATTCGATGCTTTTATCTCCCGTCCAACTGTTTCTGGTCCACCTTTCCCAGCTTCATCGCATCTTGAGGCCTCAGCTATTTCCTCAGGCCCGCAGCTAACCGTCACGAAGTTACTTTTACACGGGAATGTGCCAGGGTCTTACCCATTCAATCGCCATCGACGTAGCCGATGGAGCTTGAACATGACTTCCAGCAGGGAGCCTCTAACTTCAGAAACCCCATATGATCAGATATCAAATGAGTTGAAACGAATCTGGAAGGGTTCTTACTCAAGCCCATCTGAAGAAATGGCTCTTCAAAGGGGAATGGTCCTCAACCGTGGATGGGGTGACAGCCCTGGAAGTAGCGTTGAGCTTCTTGGTGGTTGGGAAGACAACACAGCTAACAAACATTTGACAGGCTCAGAAACTGACGGGGGTCAAACTCTGGGGAATACTGAGTTGTTTGGTTTTCCTGGCTTAGTTTTTGAGGTTCTCAAGAACGGAGCCATCAGTTGCTTAACGGTTTATTAATTTGTACTACGAGTCTTCTAGGTTTAGTACGGAGCGGCGTTTTTGTGAGGCGCATTATGTGGCGATTTCTTCAAGATGCTTTTGGCCTAGTTAACCTTGATTTGGGCCATATTCTTTTCCAAAGTTTACGTTTTCAAAATCAAATCTAAGTATCCAATCAACAAATCCCAACCAGCACCATTAAATAAAATGGGTGTTTTGGAGCCTGCCCAAATGGTACATTCACGACAGCTAGGCTCTGCAACCCTAATTGCTCTCACATCGTATCCAAGTGCACCCCCGGGTTTATAGGGTGAATTTCCATTACTCGCCGCAGCCTCCCTCTCCTCCTCTCACCTTGAGAGATAACTCTAGGCTCGTCAGCGTAAGTGGGAGAACCCCCGGGGCTGGATCCCAAATGTCCTTTTCACCGACACAATGGCCGTTGACATTTTCCCACTCCTCCTTTAAGTGTTTTTGCATTCCAGGAGTATGGGACTTCGCAAAGAACATTAACTCCTTGTTGGTGAATCTAACAGAATCACCGTTCCGTTTCTGGCAAAGGATGGTCCAACCACGTCACTACTGACATGTTTGAACCAGTCGTCAACGCCTCTCGGCTCGTAGATTTTATTAAATGGCTCACAGTCCTGTGGTATCTCTTAATGCAAATAATTCTTCTTCAACAAACAAAGAGGTTGATGCTTGAATGGGACCTTGAGCGGATTGGCGGAGTGATATGATGGAATGGAATGGATGGAATAAGAGACCCAATTGAACCCACCAATGAGAGGAATGCTCGTTGGACAGCCAGAACGGCAATAGGAAGAGTATACGAATGAATCTGACGCAGAAGGTGACAGAATGGCAAGTTTGGTTGATTGGAGAGTTTGCAAGGTATGAGTACGACTATGGTGGAAAACAAGTTGACGTGACGGAAATGTCTGACCCCCCGCTCACCATAATAGGAGTACTCAATATTTTATACAACAATATGCCTACTGCCTAGTACAGGTAAAAAATCAACTGGGAAAAACAAGAATGTGAAATAAATCAGTTAAAATGAAGATATTAAAAGAGAAAAAACATTTATAGTAATTTTAGTAACTTGATAAAATCATTTATCACATCATCTGCAGATGATATATATTGTAGAATATTTTTATTTTTATAAATAAAATCTTAAAAAGTATAAAAATAATTTTTTATATACTTAATGCAATATAATATAGCTTTATTAAAGAAGAACTTTATTTTAAATTTATTATAAGTATAAATAGTAAAGATATTATAGTATAATTACTTTTAATAAGAATTAAAATTGATCTATTCTGCTTTAAAAATTAATATATTTTATGTGAAAACACTAAAATAAATAAACTAATTGTCAAAAGAAAGTGTGAGAAGCTCTATAACTAAGATTATAAGAGAGTAGATATGTAGACACTATGAGTACTATGAAGAAAAAAGAATAATGATGAATAAAATATATGTGTAGATTGAATAGTAGCTAATCACTAAATTTTTTAAAAAAACTTTGAGAATTTAAAGTATTTATATATATAAATGAGTAGCAATAGATTTTATCTCTAATCTTTTATAAAATAAGAAATTAGTAATGCAGTGATTTAAATTTCTATGAAGTGCTGATTTCAAGTGCTGAATCATGAAATGATACTGATTCTCTAGAAGATGCTAATTCTAAAGTGCTTTGATAAGCAGTGTGAAGATAAGTGCCTTAGTAAACAATGTGATAAGCAGTATGAGATAAGTAGTATGAAATAAGCAGTGTAAGAGCAAGAAGATAGTATAGAGAGTCTTGACATCACAGTTACTCTCTATTTCATAAATGTTGATCTCAGCAGCTCTAGAAGATGATTGTTTTGAATATATGTAGATGTGAGATATTTATTGATATAGAAGTAAGATGTAAGTCTGAAGTATTTATTGATATAGAAAATAATAAAATAATATTTATAATATTTATTTAGTGATGTTAAAAAACTGATTGTATAAAATAATTGTCATGAAATTATTAATTACTATAAGAATAAAGAGAGAAGATATCTTTTACTCTCTGAATTTTTCTTTCTTTACAATTTCATAATTATAATTATTATAGATTTCTTGCAGTTGCTGCTGTCTCTGATTATAAAAGCTTTCTCATTTCTTTTCTACCTCTATCAATATAATAGAAGTAATTCTTTATTTTAGAGATATTCTTTGTGAGTGATACTTGCTCAAGCTGAGTAATTTGTCTATAATGTGTGATTATTCTCAGTGTGAGAAGTGCTGCAATTCTTGTCATCTTGTAAATAAGCTGTATATCTGAGTAAGTATAGTATATCTTTAGCTGCTGTGTCAGATAGATCTTTGCACTATTAGTATAATAACTGATTTTTACTTATTTAGATTGTTTTCTCTTCTGAGTTAAGTCAGCTGCTTGCTATTCAGAGCTTTTTATTTTTTGCAGAGTGAGTGAGATCAGTAAAGATCTTATATTATCATGTTAAGTTACTATATCTAATAGCAATATTGATAGTTTTTTTTATGCTGCTCATTCAGTGAAAGCTCATATTAATATCTTAATTAATATTATTTATTAAACTCAATGTTAGATTAAGACTGCTGATATGCTGATAGTATTTTTTAAGAATGAGAAGTGAGAGAATTTGAAAAAAAAAATTGTATATGAAATAAAAAATTTTGAGTTAACTGAGAAGAAGAGTGTTGAACTTGAGAAGAAAAGTGTTATAGCGCAGCTACTTGTATATAAATTAAAATTGATTTACTTTGCTATACTTTAAAGATTGATCTATTTTGATCTCAATCATATTCAGTTGCTCATATTGATCTGATCTGATTTTCAATTATATGTGCTCTGAAGGTTAATTCAATCTGATTCTTAATCATCTATATATTCAGCTGCTTATTAATTTTTTATTCTAATTCTCAGTTTAGTATTCTTATTGCAGCTATCTAATTAGATAGGTGAATTGAAGCTGTTGTTTTGTTATCATCCTGACTCTAATTGAGTCATAATATAATACTAAACTTCTCTTTTTTATAAAACCCTGGAGATTAAGTAGCAGATTTATATCTATATAACCATGTCTATGTGAGCTCTTCAGTAGTTGTAAGTATGCCAAATGCTCAAATCTATATCTATATCTATATCTATATCTATATCTATATCTATATTTATGTCTATATTTATATGAGCTTTTCAGTGGTTATGATCACTGAGTACTCAAAACCTTTATTAAATTTTATCTTTCTTATCTTCATTTTGGAAGCTTCTCTTACTATCTTTCATTAGAAATTTGTAAGTGCTATTAAAAAGCTTCATCGAAATCAACAGCTCTCAATTTTAATCTCAATTCTAATCTGTCTGAAGCTCTTTCTACCAGATCTCAATCATATTCCTGGCAGTCTATATTGCTAAGTTTGAATGCATTCTGTATGAGATTAGAGCTTTGAATTGATTGAATTTTTCAAAGATATCTTAATTCTGCCAAAGCTTTAATATATTAATTTAGAATTATCTAGCTCAGCAGCTAAATATTTTTCAGATCTACAAGGAATTCCTGTATATTGTTCTGCAATTAGCTTCTAATTCTTTCTATTTATTCTTACCATATATTTCTCAGCTAATGTAGTTGAATGCCTGATTTACTTAAATCCTTTAACAGTTCTGCTCACTTTAATAGCCTGGCTCATTCTAATCGTTCTGATCACTTTGATCGACCTGATCACTATGAACATCATAATCCTATGAATTTCAATCAGATTTAAGCTAATGTTCTTGATCTTTTATATGATTTCTCATTATATGCTATGTCAATTTTATCCTCTTAATAATAAAAAAAAAAAAAAAAAATCTATCAAAAAAGCTATTGCATACACTGTGAATTTTATAATCATTGAGTTGAAAACTGTTATTTTCATTTATATTCTTTTAAGCTCTATCACTATCAAACTGCTAAAAGAATCTTAGCCTCTAGATAAGAATTTGATGATGACTATTATGATAGTGAGGTATGAAAGAAAATCTATAAGAATTTAATGAATAATAATCAAAGTAGTTAGCCTACTGATAAGCTTGATAAATTGTCATTTTGCTCTTTTTTGCTTTTAAAGTACCTACTTAAGGACAAGTACTCTTTTAAAATTACAGGTAATATTATAATGCAGCTGCTTATATATGAATTAAAATTGATTCACTCTGCTATACTCTAAAGGTTAATTTAATATAATTCTCAATCATATCTGCTCTGAAGATTGATTTAATTCAATTCTTAACTACTTATATATTTAACTACTTATTTATTCTTTATTTTAATTCTTAATTTAATATTTTTATCACAGGTGCTTAGTTAGATAGATAAATTGAAGCAATTGTCTTGTTATCATCCTGACTCTAGTTGAGTTATAATAAAAAGTATTGAGCTTAAAAAGAGAAAAATTACTATATCTGAGTATTGTATAATAACTATAATAATTATAATTAAAAATTAAGTTAAAGAAAATTAGAGATATATATCTGAGTATCTTGATTTGTTCAGATAATAGTGAAGTAAATTTTTTCTAAAAACTTAATAATTTTTAATATTTTACTTATTTTATTAAAACTATATAATTAAAAAAAAAAATTTATTTAAAAAAAAGAAGTAACAAAAGTACATATATAAAAGAGAATTAGTACTTAGTATGCTTTTTAAAGTGAGTTTAGTATGCTTGTTACTGTGATTTTCATTTTTTTAAAATATCAAATGTTTTAGTCTCTTGAATATTTTTAAAAGATTCTTATATATCATCAGAACATTCATAGTTTTTTCAATATATATAATATTATTTTTTATTTTAGTTTTTCTTTCTTTATTATCTTCTCAATTTGAAATTCTTTCTCATTATTTACTAGCTCTAGTGCTGGAAATAAAGTAATATTATCTTTTATTTATAGAGTTTAAATAATAATATATGAAAGATAGAATAAATATTATACATTAAGTGTAAAAGAG